GGTGGGTGGGGGGGGGGGATTGGTTCATGTTGATTTAAGGGTTTGTGCATACTAGAGTCAGAGTGTACTACTGCCTAAATGTGTCCTGTAAACTAACTTAAAGAGAAAAATGTGAGATAGTTTGCAGGTTGAACAATATTCTCACATCTCTTGGCGAAATCTTTCTCTATGGGCTTTCAGCCTTCAATTATCTTCTAGATCTAATTTTATAATAAGGAACGTTTGTGAATATGAATTAAAACTTTACTAGTTGAATGACGTAGTGCCTTCTCATGTCAAATCTTCAATATTCCCCTTACCAACTGTATATAGACAAGTATATTTAGGTCCAAAATTTGTGTACATCCTAACTAATGAAGACAACTGAAATAAAAGTGAACTAGTCAGAGTGAATCAACGTTTGGATGCAAATTGAAGGCCTTTTCAGCTATAAACTGTGCGTCATAAAGAAAGTTATAAAAATTTATTTTACTCTCTACTTTTGCAGTGATTATCCCGGCAATAATGCAGACAGCGGCAGCATACCTATGGATCGGCCAGGTTAGAAAGCAACTGGGGAGGCAGCCACGATCAAGCGTTGAATCCGGCGGGTGGAGTGCGGTTCCAAGCATTTTCCGCAAAAAGAACGTCACAGACATGACCAGAACTCTCTTTATTTACCGAATATTGGCCTGTGTGGCATCCCTAATGGTTCTTATTTGTTCAACCCTCCCTCAGCTTGTCTTAACAGTTGCTAATCGTCCAAAGGAGGGCAATATTGATCAGCTGTGGGGTTGGTGTCATATATTTGTGTACATGGATCACACCACTCGCTCATTCGCAACGTATCTCATAGTTATACCCTACGTCCTTTTCTTCTGGGATTTCCTATTCAGTGAGGTTGTTCCTCGTCGCCACTTAGTAATGAAACGCATATTTCGTGGAATTGTTATTTCAGCGCTTCCAATAGCCATTATTTCCTCAATGGTGGCAATACCCCTTGTGGTCTATAGGTATGAAAAGACTGGCAACGAAAGCACAATCTATTGTGGGGCAACAATCTCCGGCACAACCAACTTTATTGCCTTTGATTTTGCCGTTACACGAGTAGCGCCAACAGTCATCATCATTGTTGTGACTTCCGCTTTTCTTGTATGGCTTCCAAGACATCACTATGGGGTATTTTATGAGCCTCTCATTTTTCTCGGTCTTATGGCTCCAGTTGTATTTCTCGAAGGAACTGTATACATTGCCTGCTATATGGGAAAAGTTACCAGTCTAATTAATGAACAATTCGCCAACGCAGTTCTCATCTTTTACGCATTCTATCACATGTCCTTCAGTAGTACATTTGTTCTTGCAACTCTTCGATCGGTAATTACTGAAATTCGGCATGAACGCAAGGCGAGAAAGAGATTCCTGATTGGTGAGGAGCCTAAAGAAGATGAACGCAAGAATGCTCGTCGGAGTGATGTGATGCTTGGTCTTCAGCGACAGTTTTCCGTTGTTTTCCGATGGCGATCCGAATGTGCAGAGGATGAATTGCATCTAGAAGAGCGATTTATGGAAAAAAAGCCTGTGGTTAACCTGGAAGCTCCTCCAATTCTAGAGGAAACGTTTGATGATGAATTAACAGAAAAGAAACCCCCCGATGATGTTACGTTGCATTATTCCATTCTCCAACGCTCTGCGACCATAAAGAAAACCACTTCACCGAGCACCAGTCCCCCGCGACAATTTAAACCCAAAACCCCCTCAGAAGACACACCTAGGAGTCCAGAGATAACCCATTTTGATTTTCAAGGAAAATATAATAATTCTCAAAATAGTCCCACCCGAAGAAATCCTAGAGGAACTGGAACAGGTGTTGCCAGAAGCCCAACTTCGCTATCACCCAGATCCCTACATGTAAGACAGCCGGAAATCAATCAACGATTTGGATCTATGACACATATTCAAAACCTACCAGATGATACTATTCTACCTGGTTGTCCTGTCCAACGTAGTCCAAGAAGAACACCTCGATTCGAGTAGGAATCGTTAAATTTTCCATAGCCCAGTGAATCAAAGATGTTGCATTACCTGCTGTTGAATGCAACTTCTCTTCCCTGTAAAACTTACAATAAAGTGCATCATATGAGCATTTCTTTGGACCTATTAAGCAAAGAGCCTTCAATTTAGCTTAATCATTTGGGTTTTTTGGATAGGTGGTGGTCGGTAATAAGGAATTAGTCGTTAACGCGCTTTGATCTCATATCGAAGTACTTTAAATAAGCTCACGTAATGTATGAATCAGTAAAAGCAATCAAATATCTCTGTAAGGCAATTTATCAAATATCTGTAAAGTAAGTATTTACGTAAAAAAGACAAAATTCGAGCATAAAAAATATTAAAAATAGACATCTTTGCCCCCAAAATACTCATAAATCGACTGAGGGAAATATACATATACATTGGAGTAAGAAATAAATCATGATTCAGACGCTCTACTCCAGTGGGCCTAAGATCAAAATTCAAGCCAGCTGGAACAGAACTAGCAAGATCGATCCGTTTTGATGCACATCAAAAGAGCAATGAAAAGGCTCGAATACGGCTTTCATTTCATAGGGACTTTAAAATAGTTTCCAGCTATCTTTGATGTGACTTCCGCAATTAATGTTGCCACTCCATTTCTTACTCTCAATGACTTGAAAATACGTTGGCCATACGTAAATCTGAGTACTATAAGTGGACTTGAGTTAACTGAGTGGAAGTTGTATATTAGCTGTGCTAGGTGTTATTGAAGAACGAAGCGATTGGAATACATGATCAATACATAAAAATATTGAATACAAAAGACATGATCAACACGCTTTCTTGTTCCTTAAGTGAAATTAGGAAAAAGCAAATGGTGAATGAATAAATTGGAATAGTGTAAAATAAGCTTGCACCACCTTGATATGGATTCAAAGAAATTTTTACTGACTTGTAACCTAATTTTTTATCAATAGAGATATTACAATATCATAAATGCCTAAAGAACTCCCATTTCGATTGGTAATCTGCTTAGATTACTTGATCTATTCCATTATTATTGAGATGCAATACATTTCAATAAATAAAAGACATCGAGATTTGATTTCAGCATTTGGAAGATTTCGAAGAGTTGAAGAAGCTGCAACAGTAGCTTGATTCTGGCTAATCAAACAATTTTGCACAATTTACTCTTCAATTTTCACTAACAGAGAACCAGCTTGTTGGTAGAAGTATTCGCTAAAAGTTGGCAATAACAGAACCGTGTTTGATAGATTTTAAATATCTAAAAATGCCAGTTGCATTTCTAAGACGAATCGAAAGGTAGCTAATTCGTTCTCAACATTTAAGAGCGCTGGTGATTCATTTTCGAGAATGCATACTCCGCTCTACTGTAGACAATGCGGTCTTATTTACTAGAAAAGGTAAAATCACCTGGGAGAGACTTCTAATGCCAATATTTACACCCTGGATTACTAGTCTAGACAAGCAAAGTGTTGAAACCTAATGGAATTAGAATGTCCGTCCCCCCCCCCCCCCACCCACCCACCCACCCCTCAGACTTGCATTAAGGACTGTTTAGTCTAATTATAGCAACCATTTGTAGGCGTCTATCTCCCCTTCACAAATTTTACATCCTCTATTTGTAATAACTCAAAATTGTAGAGTAACAGGTTGGAAAGGTTGTAATACTTGATGCAATTCACTTTTTTATTAAGTGGAAGGGAGGGGTTGAGAGAATGTCCTCGTGTTGCATTTAGTTACACTAATAGAAAGCCTAAAACCTAGTACTCCCAATGGATTCAAATGTTAGAAATTCTTTCCTAGATCAGGTAGGCTGTGTTAAACTGCAAGACATCATGAATGAATAGGCCAATGTTGAAACAGTGTCAATTTTAGAGGACCTGGTACTGGGACTAATAATAGATTCATAATTCCAAGAAGTTAGAACAAGTGTAGTTGTGCTTTTAATGGCAACTTAAATCTGAGTGAGTGAATGAGAGTGAGGAAGCAAAGAAATAAAACAACAGTTTGAGAAAGGGAGCAATGGGGAGGGGTGGGGTAGGAGAAAGCTCAAGAGTCGAGCTTGTGAACATGATGGCCTAAATCAACGTGTGTGGCCTAACACAATCAAAGTAGGTGATTCATCTCTAAAGAGTCAAAAAATTAAGATATTCAATAACCTGAATCTGGGCTTTTGTTAAATTCAGTAATTATACCCAGCTTATTATATGAGCATACAACTACAATAAGTATTTTGCAGAAAATTATTTAAATTAATATTCGTTCCCAAATGCAATTAAACGAAACTTTAGATAACCAATCACTGGCCTTGCATCTATTGAAGAACATCTTACCAGATGCCATAGCTAACGGGAAGTACATTGTACATATGTGCGACTTATAATTCTGCAAGAGATTATTTGCCACTTTAAGTTAACCTTGAATCGGCCCAATATAGCTTTCCGAACGAGAGTAGGATTGTTAAAAGACCAAGGTGTTTTATTAATTTATCTAGTTCACTTACGTGAAAGTAAACGAAATTTTCTTCATACAGGCAGGCTGTTGACAAACCAAAATTAGAATAAATGAAAATCAAAATAGTTGCACCATTTACCTCCAAATCGTGTCATAACTCCTTAATGTACAGCCAATCAGCGTCTGAGCAACCACGGTTGCTATCGGGATGCCCAGATTAACGCCCAATGACGTACGGAGCTGAGTGGGACCTTGTGAATTCCCGTGCTGTCTTCTTTCTATCATTTTTTTGGAAAATTTTAACTCTTACATCGTCTGTCCTTTTTTTGCGATTAAACTACCATTAACATAAAGACTAATAAAAGTGGCAATACGATGTTAAACAATAAACAAAAAGGTGTCTCACAAGATATCACTTGCTTAATGCGCAGTGGTTCCCTTTATTAATATAAAACCTGGATTTTTCGCTATTTTGTTCAAGCTTATGATGAAATTTGTTTTCTACCTCTCAAGTAGTCTAATTTATTTAGTATTTCCTCAATATATCAATGAGACACCCTTACATTTTAACATATGGTTCTGAAATCGCATTAAAATGTTTCCCCAAAAAGAGTGGAATAATATGCCATAACGAAAAAAAGTTGCACTACGCAGTAAATTCTTAAAAGGTCATTCTAAACTTTCCTTCAATCGTGCGTGGCATGTGTGGTGCGGGAGTGCAATTTTTATTAATCTCGACCGATTGCCCTAAATGGGTTCCTGTTGCATTCCAAGGATAGTTAACCTCCTTCGGCACTTTAATTTTCTCCCACCGCAAATTATCGCTTCCTTTTTCCCTGGCTTACCTCCCTTCCATTTGTCAACCTTCTTTTACTGGTTTGCTGTCGCCAGTAATTTTCGCAAAACTTTTGAGAAATATTTTGAAAATTTGCTTGAAATATTAAATATTCTAGTCTGCTGGTTAGCTCAGATATGTTTATTTATAATCTTTATGAAATTATGACATGAAATTATCTCAGTTGTGTTAAATCTCGTTGCCAGTCGGGTTTTTATTCCCATTGGATGAAATTAGGTTGTATTAATTACTTGGAAACAGAAATCGAACAATCCCCAAGGTGTGCATGTTATGGCATATTGCCTAATGATCATCCTGGTTATACAATGCCTGGATTTATTCATAATCAGAAAACATTTAAGAGAGTAGTGAAAGATATTAAACCCTTGTATTTTTTGTTTAACTGTAATAAGCTAAGTAATTTGGTTTTAATATATAAAATTATCTTGACGTAAATGACCATAAAAATTGATAAATCAGTTGAGCTACTGTAATTCTACGAACGAGAATCGAATTTCAACGGTTGATAAGTTGATGTCCAAGCATGGATCACATGCAGAAAGGTGCTTAAATCAGCCTTAAACCTAACAATTAAAACATGTGATGAGATTATATGCACACATTAAAATTAATAAAAATTTGCTAAAAATAGGATATGAAGTACCTGTCATGATTGGAATACCATAGCATGGGAGCGTGGCTAACAAAATATCTTTTTTATTACTTTTCCAATATCAAGACGATATCACTGAATGAAAGGAATTTCAAACAGGGCACAATAAATTTTCTTCAATAGCAAATTTCTAACTAATTTGCATTTAATCTCACATTAATCCTCTGCAGGTATCAACCCCCATTCCAATGTACTACAAGCACATGCATTTTTGTTTTAAAGGATTTTTGCTAGATTATGCTTTTGCATCAACAGTAACCTTCATCGTCATAAGTTTGCATTAGTCAATAAAAGGAGGAAAAACTAGAGTGATCTAAAATATTGGTAAAATTAGATTTATGAAAACGCTAAATATTAAAGTTGAAAACTCATTAATTGCGCCCTCTTTTCTCTAATAATATACACAGGAAGCTCATCTTTTAACTCGAATTTGATCTCATTCAGTTCCCTTCCATACTAAGGACCGATCAGCCTTGCTGGTTAATGGTGCTGTTGTGCGCTCATCTTCCCATAATAAAAATAAAAAAACACAAAAATATACAGCAAATCATGATGAGCGTCCATCCATAGTTAGTGATATACATTCCACGCTAATACTCCATCGTAAAATGATGTTAACCACTGGATAACTCCGAACGGGTTCAACAAGTTGTGAAATGGGAAGGCTAAGAAGAAGAAGAAGAGGAAGAAGAAAAAAGTGTAGTGCATTCTTTAAAGGAATTCATAACCAATTGGTCAGTGTACTTCATAAGAATCCGCACGATGTGGTCCACCTTCCACTCCCCTCCCCCCCCCCCCCCCCCCCCCCCCGCCCCCAATAGGAGTTTTAGAAAGGTGGGAATCTGAGTAGTTACAGGTGAGATGGATTTAACCATGGCTAGACCAAGCCTTAACTGCATTGAAACATTTTTTCCTGTATATATCCACGTTTAACCAGCAATTTAACGCCTGAAAAATTACTCAATTAACATAGCTCACAGTAATGTAATTAAAAAATTATACTGATAAATCTCGTTTAAATTGAAATTGAGTCAT